GCCCCCTCCGTTCCCCGCGATGTTTGCTGCCGGAGGGAGGGAGGCGGTCTCGGGTGAAGGTCGAAAGCAGGTCGGTGGCCTGGGGAGATGTCCACGTCCCTGCTCCGGCTCCGCGCAGGGGGGCCCGGCCGTCCCGGCGCTGCCCACCGGCCGGCCAAAAGCTCCATCCCCTCCCCTTTGCTAGATCTTGACGGGTTTTCAAGCTCGGCTGTGAATCGATATTTCAAAAAGACTGGGTAAAACGCTTGCAAAGGGTTCACGGGGGGCGGGGGGGGAGGCAGGCTAGGCTCTCCGTAGCCATCTGTAAGTCTGGGTTGTCCTGCGATCAAAGTCATCGCCTGGTCGCTGAGCGTGGTCTCTGGTGGCCAGGAAAACAGCTGTGTCTGAGCCGGACTCCTCCTACGGGACTCCCGAACACTGCCCAGATGAATTGCTTCCATGTTTAAATGTAACAACGTTTTAGGATGGAAGCAGCAGCATCCCTGTGACTTTTAGACTAGCAAAACAACGTTGGATCGATGTGCGAGTGAAGCAGGAGGTTTCAAATGGCGGATCTAACTAAAACTTTAGATGCTGTTTCCAAAGGGCTGCTTTATTCTTTGCTTGCTTCCCAGCGTCACTTCTTTGAAGTCCCAGGACTATGTCCTTGTATTTCTGCAGCACAGGCCTAGTGAGATGGAGTGGCAGCTGCCGTGGGCTGTGCTGCCTCTGTCCCGGTCTTGCAACGTAGTTAGCCTTGAGTAGACAGAGATAGCTGGGACCCTGGGTTTGTTTTGTCCTAAGAAAGCCCACTCCCAAAGCCCACCGCCCTCTCTCTATCAGCACAGTTCATGGTGGCCCCAGGGAACAGAGAAACAGTCTCTGCAGGAGACACCCTGAACTGTTTCTGTGAGTTATGGGACACTTTGAAATTGTTTGGGCTACAGAATAGATGGTAGTGGTTGCTTCTCCTGCAACAGACACGTACTCTGATCTCTTCCTGCTCTTCTAGCATCCACCGGCCTGACTGAGGAGCAGAAGGAATTCCAAAAAGTTGCTCTTGATTTTGCTGCCAAGGAGATGGCTCCTCACATGGCAGAGTGGGATGAGAAGGTATGACAGCCACAGGAGGGTTGTACTGCTCGCTTCTTCCTCCCTTAGGATGTTATGATCCTCGGGTCTCATCAGAGGGGTTCCTGCAATAGCTCCTCGGTGCTGTAATGCCATCTGTAGAGATCTTCTTTGAAGCTGCTGCTGTAGCTGGGGTGGGAAGCCATGAGAATTTCCTTGAAGCTTTCCTAGCCAGGCTATTCAGTCATCTGAAAACCCGAATTTACTCCTGAAGGTGCTATGTACCTGCCTAGGTAGCTGTCTCTTCTGTAACCCACCCAATAAACTCTGCAGGAGTTTGGGACTAGACTTGGTAGCCCAGGTGTACCGGAAAGAAGGGATTGAATATTGAGATTTAACTGATCATGAGTATTCACTTGCGATGTCTCTGCCTCTCCCAATAGGAAATATTCCCTGTGGAAACAATGCGGAAGGCAGCCCAGCTAGGATTTGGTGGGATCTATGTGAAACCAGACGTCGGCGGCTCTGGATTGTCACGACTTGATACCTCCATAATCTTTGAAGCTTTATCAACAGGATGTACCAGCACCACTGCTTATATGAGCATCCACAAGTGAGTGTGTCCGCGGAACGGTGAATGGTGTTGGCCTGGCTGAAAAACACATTTTTTCTGCGGACTCTAAATCCAGCTGGAGACAGCTCTCTTGGTGCCGCTTATCATTTAAAGTTGGGACCCCAAGTAGACATGTCACTGTAAGGATCTCTCGATGGCAGTAAACAAATAGGCTACAAAAACTGAGATGCCACCAAGAAGTAATTTTAGCTTTGTGGCATGCAAGATGGGATTAAGTTCTGGATTTTGTTCCCTGCTCTTCCACTTAAGCTGGCTATAGATAGTAACCTTTGTGCTTTGGTCGTACTATGACAGAGCCCAGTGGCGCCAGCAGATACCGGGGCCCTATCCTGCTTGTACAGACATGTTCAGTGACAGGCTCGCTTTGCACAGAAAGATGGAGTGATGATGCCTCCTTCTTCCAGGTGCAGTTTTCTGAAGAGACAGCAGGGCTTAGCGCTGAGGGGAACGCTGAGGCTATTAAATAGGAACCTGCTGTTCCACAAGGCAGCAAGTCTGTGGTGAATGGAAGGCGATCTTCCTCCCGGCTTCCATGGCACCTAATTTTGTTCTGTTTTGAGGCGGAGCGATATGCTTTCAAGCCTCTGTGCTTTTGACTGAACGCCATGGAGCTTTGTTCTTCTGTGCAGGCAGGGATGTTGTTGTATGACCTGCCTTCCTCCCAGGGCTGTGTTCAATTCCTGTAATGCTGCTCCTTTTCTCCTGCTCCAGCATGTGTGTTTGGATGATTGACACCTTTGGCAATGAGGAACAGAGGCGCAGGTTCTGCCCATCACTCTGTAGCATGGAAAAATTTGCATCTTACTGCCTGACTGAGCCAGGTGAGCATCCTCAAACAAGAAATCTTCTCCCTTCCCATACTCCTAACATAGTTTAACTGGACGTGAGCATTGCACGGAGCAGGAGGTGAAAAGCTTCTTTTCACATTCATTTGGGCAATCACCAGGAAGTTGGGAAGGAGCAGATGATGATTGCCAAGATGCTCGCGCGAGCGTTGCTGGGTACGATCCCCGGAAGATGTTGTAGGGCCTGGACCAGCTGCTTCACTGGCTGCTTCCTTACCTCTCGAATAGGAAGTGGAAGTGATGCAGCTTCCTTGCTGACCTCAGCTCAGAGGAAAGGGGACACCTACGTCCTGAATGGCTCCAAGGTACCTCTTTCCTCCTCCTAAAGCTGCTGGATGGCACTGCATGCACAAGGGGGCCTGGGTCTCACCGTCCTTTCCATTTCCTACTGTCTCCTCATCTCTGTATGTTCTCCCAAGGTAGGACATGCTCTGCAGAGCATTCACCAGACCTTAGTACAGTTGCGTCCCTAAACGCTTCCTGGCTGTGGGGTCTTTGCCCCTCCGTCTTTGTACCCCAGCTGCTGCTGCAGGCTCAGGGGTAGTATACGAAAGCTGCCCCTTTCTTCCTGTGTCCTTCTGCAGGCCTTCATCAGTGGGGGAGGTGACACTGATGTCTACGTGGTCATGTGTCGCACAGGAGGCCCAGGCCCCAAGGGCATCTCCTGCCTGGTGCTGGAGAAGGGGACACCGGGGCTTAGCTTTGGCAAGAAAGAGAAGAAGGTAAGAGGCTTGGTTGTCACCTCCTGTGTGCTTGAGGGAAGTGCAGGACAGAGGCAAGCTAGTCTGTGCAAAGCATTAGAGATCTCTCCTTGGGTGTCAACTGGAGTCCCAGCCTGGCATGTTTTTTCCAAGCCTAGTCCAGCTTTGGTGAAGTTTGCACAATACCCCTCCATTTGGTAAGTGAAGGATTTTCATCTTGGGAACATTAGGGTTCGTTGGCTCTGTGCCTCTTCTCAAATACAGGCATTCCAGTTTCCAACTCAGCACACTGAGGCCAAACCACGTAGACCACAGGCACTCTTTGGCAGCTTGGCAATGACACCGAGGGGTTGAGAGCGGGCTGGGCAGTTCTCTGCTGGGAGCTGGAGGTGTGCTGCTCCTTAGGCAGCCTGGAAGGTGTTCTGTTTTTTTCCCCAGGTGGGCTGGAATTCCCAGCCAACTCGGGCTGTGATCTTCGAGGACTGTGTTGTTCCTGTTGGCAACCGGCTGGGAGCCGAAGGGCAGGGCTTCAGCATTGCCATGAAGGGACTGAATGGAGGCAGGATAAACATTGGTAAGGAAGACAGCTGAGAGCCAAGGGAGGAGGGCAGGATCATCTTGTTCCCGTCTGCGTTATCTTCATATTCATGCTGTGTCATTGGTTTCTCCCCCAGCTTCTTGTTCGTTAGGAGCTGCTCATGCCTCTGTTCTTCTGGCTCAGGAACACCTCACTGTCCGCAAACAGTTTGGAGAACCCCTAGCAAACAATCAGGTAACCTCTCCACCAGATCTGCACTCCCAGAGCTTTGTTCTTTCTGATCCTGATGGACCAAGCAGCCAGAGGTCCCATCACTCACTTCACAGGGTCTTCCCTGGAGAAGTCAGGAACATGCTTTTCCTGAGTAAGAAAGCGTGTCAGGCCTGAGACCTGCCTGAAGGTAGTGGGGAAGTGGTTCAGGACCCAGGTCCCTCCAAAGATGCTGACCTAATTTTTCCTCTCGTGCCATCTGCTGGCAGTACCTGCAGTTCAGGCTGGCGGAGATGGCGACGCGCCTGGTGGCAGCACGGCTCATGGTTCGCAATGCAGCGCGGGCACTGCAGGAGGGACGGGAGGACGCGGCTGTGCTCTGCTCCATGGCCAAGCTCTTTGCTACTGATGAATGCTTTGCGGTACGTTACTCAAAGCTCAGTTGGCATCATAACTGCAAGCTTGGAGACCCCTCTTGGTGCCCAGGATGTCAGAAAGAAGTTTGACACTGTAGGGACCCAGACTCAAGCACGTTCTTTGAGCCAGAAGCCTCATTTCAGGTCCAGGATTTTTTACGGGACAGAATTCTGCACCCTGTGGAGGCTGCAGTATTAGCCTCTCCACAGTTCAGGCCTCCTGGCCTCTAGTGCTTTCTACACTGCTTTCTAGGGGACCAAGCAGGGAGACAGGACAGGGAGTAGAGCATTTTTATTTCCAAGTGATAATATGCATGCTACAGGCTGATCATTCCTAGGTAAAAAGTGTTTTTTCCTAGACCACTGAGAAATAAAATGTTACCACAAAATGTCGCTGCAAAGAGAAAGCAAGAAGGGAGAAAAAGAGAGGAAAAGGAAATCTGCACCTTGACACTTCCTAGATCAGTGTCATTTAGAAGCTACCGTATTTTCTCAGCACTCTGTATTTTTGCTATTTGTTACGTTTTATGTCCCAGGTTGACAGCTAATGATGCATGGAGTCATGTTTCAGTAGAAACCAGAGCCCTGAACAGATTCCTTGCCTGACTGACCGCTAGATGGTGATCTGGCGTTTTGGTTTTTTGCATCAGTAGCGCCACAGAAATGCAGCAAAAACGGCCTTAGTTAAGTAAAGCGTTTCCTGGGCATTTCTATGCTATCACATTCACATAAATGCACCATTAATGCGAAACAGCACTTGGGTAACATGATAGCACTGATGGGGATTGAGAGTGCCTTGCCATCACACCGCACTTTGTTAAAAGATGAGATTAGGTGATCAGAAAAAAAAAAATGAGCCCAAGTTCCTGGGTTCTTACCGAGCTTCTGTCACTGACTTGTCCTCGACACCATGCAAGGCATTTCAGCAATGCTGTCTTCTTAGATCTGTAACCAGGCTCTACAGATGCATGGGGGCTATGGCTACCTGAAGGATTATGCTGTGCAGCAGTTTGTGCGAGACATCAGAGTCCACCAGATCCTGGAAGGTAAAAGACACTCTTACTACCAGTGACTTGGCAGTGAAGCCAGGAGAGAACAGACCCTCCGGAGGCCCCCACCTTCCCACATGACTCTCTGATTCTTGGGTTTCAGAATCCCAAGAATTTTTGCTCTGAGTGCGAGGCGTCCCTGGATGTCACGGGTGTGAATCTCCTGGCCAAGAGCTCTTGGTGTATTGGAGCAGTAACTGTGTATTTTAAGAGTCTTACAGCAGAGGGAGATACCTAGTTGTCATGTTAGCGGGGCCTCTGTCCAGTTTCATCCCGTGACTCCTACAGACATGTGCTGATGCTCCCCAAAAATTCCTTTCCTGTGATTCCCATCTATCTTCACTCTTTGAGATTGTGTCTCTAACAGTGTCTGGCCTTTTCTAATCTCAATTCAGCCTCCTAACCATTTTGTTTTCTCTCCTTTGAAATCCCTTCACCTACAATCAGGGTACCTGATAAGGGACATACTCTTTCCAATACCAAGTGGGTCTACAGGTCTGTCTGTGTGTTGTGTGTATATTACATAGTAAAGCAGAGAACTCAGGTGTTGGCACAGATCCAGTTCAGCTCGACGCCTGGTGCATGCATCCTCTCAATGCCCAAACAAAAAGAAGCACCAGCATCTGCCACTCTGATGCCTTTCCCAAGGAAAATGCTGGCACTTGGCAGTTGTATTTTGGCCCAGCACCTCCTAAATGCCACCTTAACTGGTGGGAAGAGCTTTTCTGTGCTGTAAACTGCAGCTCAGGGCAGAATAATTCTCTTTGCCTTCATTGGGGGCAGAATTGAACCATCTCCTAACTGTCTTTCTTTTGCACCCTCATCCTGCTGCAGGTACCAATGAAGTTATGCGGATGATTGTGGCCAGGAATCTGCTACAGGGCTGAAGCCAGGAACTAGTCTCCAGCCCTAAAATTCCTTCGTCTGTTACAGCTCAGTCTGTTTCCCTCCCCTATTCACCAGCTCTCTCCCCGGGAGTGGAGAGGGGGATACCTCGGTGGAAACAGTCTTTCTGCCTTACATTGACGGGGATCGCAGCTGGACGCCACCCACATGCTGCCACAGCTGCACTCTGTGCCTGGCAGAGCTGCTGTTACTAGCCTAGTATTGTGCAGCCTGAAGATATAAATCACACTTGTGAATACAAGCCTCTGTCTCCAAATCTTGATCATGGGCTGCTTCGCACCCATCCTCCTCAGAAAGAGAAACACCAGACCTTTTGGTCATCTCTGCTGAGTCAGGACCGAAGCGGGAGCTTCAGGCAGAGGTGCAGCCTGATCCCATAGGACTCTTCCTCTATCACTGAAATCTTTAGGTCGAGGGAACTAGTTGCTCTGCTTAAAAACCTGTCCTCCTGGGTGCTGGCTGCACCACTGGGAATGAGTTGCCCCAAGCGCTGCACCTCTAACCACTTGCAGAGTGCAATGGCTTTTTAACTGAGGAGCAGGATGTCTCTTGTTTATCTACAAACACTCCTCCTTCTCTTTTCCTGGCACACCTTTTCTAATGTACCGACTGCCTGTTGTTCTCCCTATTCCCACCAACATACTGGTGCTTAATCTCAAAGAAGCCTTTCCAGTACAGAGGTACAAATCAAGAACTAAGGTCCTGCGCAGAAACGCTTAACTCCGTTGCCTCAAGTCCCTGCAGTGCACAGTGCAGGGGGAATAAAAACATTGGTAAATTAAACTTTTTCCCCCCTCAGATTCAGAATCAATAAACCAATGATGGCAACTTTACTGAGAGTGTCAGAAGTCGTGATAATTTTCTTCTGTGGTATTTTAGGGATTTAACCAGAGGAGCTTTTTGAAGCAGGGGGGTTGCAAAACGGTTCGGTTTCTGAGGTTTTTGGGGGGTTTTTTTTTAGTTGCGGTGTGTCTGTGAACCTCTTCAAATGAACCAGCTCCTCTTTTCTCTCAGCCCATGGCGGGGAAGGGAGATGACAGAGCACTGGCGGCAGACACGGGTGGTTTTGGGTCTCCGACCACCCCGCACGCCAAGAGGCCCTCGGGTCCGCTCCCTCCGTCTCACAGGGAATTAATTTCTCTCACAGGGCGGCCAGGGCAGTTTAAAGCTCACGGCTCTCGGACAGAAACAGCCGCCTGCCCGCGGCGGGGGCCCGGCCGGCGGGGCTCGGAGCTGCCCCCTCCGCCCGCAAGGGGCAGGGCGGGAGGCGGCCTGAGGGGGGACGGGCCCGCGGCCGCGACTGCTCCCTCAGCGAGACG